TAAGAGCACACGTATTTATTATATTTTCCATATTCTTTGTTGTGAAATTGGGCAAAATATTTAAAATATTTTCATTATTTTGCCATTCAGTAAGAATTTCATAAATTTTCTTCACAGGTAGGCAATTCTCAGGATTTTTATCTCAACATTTTTTCATAAGATTTATATAATATTGTGGTGTACCTTCGATGATTGGGGTCGTAAGCCATTACATGATTGAATTTGAAAGTACCTTCTGGATTCATTATCAAAAGGTACAGCCTTTCCTGAAGAAATTTCCCACATGATTATTCCAAATGAGTATATATCTGATTCTATGGTATACGAATTACCACATAAAATTTCCGAAGCAATATATGGTAAAATCCCATAGACTCCATTAGATTCGGTTTTCATGTTACTCGATACCGAAAGACCTAGATCTGAAATGTATCCACTATTTAGACTACCTTGTAACATGTTGCTACTATGCAAATCTTGGTAAATGAAGTTTTGCGAATGAATTATTTGAAGATCGAAAGAAATGCAAAGTAATAAATTTATCTTTTCTTTCCACTTCATTTGTGAGATGCGATAAAGATTCTTGCGTAAAGATCCTTCCTGTGCAAAATCCATGACGAGAATGTAATCTCTTGAAATGTTATCTCTTAATATTCCATAGCATTGAATAAATAGAGGATTTTCACAGCCAATGTCACAGTATGCCTTTAAATTTAAATATAATGAGTTATATTAGATAAAGAAAGAAAATACGATGACAAGATGAATGAATTATTATAAAATTTACTTCTTTTATGAATTCCTTGTGATTATTCCCGATCCGTGAAGCAGCTTGAGTGCAACATTAATCTGTTTCCCTCTACGTTTGGCAAAAAAGACAGTCACAAATCCACCTTGTCCTTTCTCTTTAATATCATAAAATTCTTCATAAGGAATCCAGGATAATGAATATTTCTTATCATCGAGTATTTCTTTTAATTCTTCCTCGATACCGTAATATTCATAAACCTGGTTACTTGTAGCTACAAATGATTTTAGCATTAATACTTAGTATATGAAATACAAAATAACGTTATTAATATTACCTAGTAATAGATTTCTTTGTCTATACCAATGATTAGCCATTTGAGGATTTCTTTTTACTCTAACTCCATTTTGATAAAAAGTAGCAACCATAAACATTCCGTCTACTTGACCCTTCTCAGCTGATTTTTTATAATATTCGAATGCCTTATGTTTATCCTTTTCAACTCCGATACCATTGTAATAGCAATAACCTACGTTGTATATTCCACTTACATGGCCCATCTCAGTAGATTTTTGATAATATTCGAATACCTTATGTTCATCCTTTTCAACTACAATTCCTTTTGAGTAGAAAATACCAGTATTAAATGCTCCTTCCGCATAACCCATCTCAGCAGATTTTTGATAATATTCGAATACCTTATGTTTATCTTTTTCAACACTGTTGCCATTGTAGTAGCTATTGCCAATATTAAATGCTCCTTTCGCATGACCCATCTCAGCAGATTTTTGATAATATTCGAATGTCTTATATTCATCCTTTTCAACTCCAATTCCTTTATCGTAGCTGTATCCAAGATTAAACGTCCCCTTTGCGTCACCCATCTCAGAAGATTTTTGATAATATTCGAATCCCTCGTGTTCATCCTTCTCTACTCCAATTCCAAAGAAATAGCAATTGCCGACAAGACACACCCCATCTTTATCACCCATCTCGACAGATTTTTGATAATATTTAAATACCTTATGTTCATCTTTAACACATCTACCAAAGTGATAACAACTTGCAAGAATATTTTGCGCAGTAGAATTTACTTCATTATTTAAGCACCAGCAAATAATGTCCTCCAGTTTTTGTTGCTTTTTTGCTAAATATTGAAAAATTAAGTCAAGAATAAAATTGGTGTTTTTTCCCTTTGACCTTTCTTCGGCATACTGGTTACATATCTCTTTTGTAATTTCATCAAGAAAATTTTGCGACTCATCTTTGTCGTATGAAGTGTTAATGACTATTTCTATCTTTTTATCCGAAGTATCCATGAGTAAAGCTGTGAACGTAGTGAACTTACTATACTTGGTTTACATTATGCATGCGTGCAGACAGGTGACACTGCCACTTAAAAAATTGGTTTCTTTGTACAAATTCAATTTTAATTTTTAGGTTTATAATACTGTATTTCAATTGCTTAAGAGAATGAAAAATTGTACTAAATCAAAATTACATTTACAAATATAGTTTTATATTAAGTTTCTACGGTTTATACTTTGAAGCAGTGATAAATTCTGCTGATTAAATTTGAGCAATATTTGTAGGCATATATTGTATATATATATTGTATAATTTTGTTAGATATTTTAGAAATCAATTTTTAACTATAATGCAAAAGTCAATAAAAATATTTTCTTATTACAAAAAATCATGTAAATATTATTGAGGAAGTCTTTTATTGTCCCGTCTTATCCCAGCTCGTATAATTCACGAAAATTGCAAATCAAACATCAAATTATAAGTAAGATCCAGTAAAAAATAGATGGATTTATTAGGTATATACTACTTACCTGTTTTCAGTCTTGACAATATTATAATACTTTGTTATATATTATTTATATAATTTTATTATAAGAGAAATAAAAAAAAATTGTTTTTTATTAATTTGATTCTTAAAAATATATATCGAAAAAAAATGTTTTATTCAAGTTGTATAAAAAATTTTTAAGAATAAAAATATTTTAAAAAAAATTAAACCAAGCTAAAAAAAAAAATAAATTTAAAATTAGAATTAAAAATATAAAAGCTTCATTAATATTTTAGTTAAAAATATCATTTTAAAACATTTATTTAATATAAAAAATAAATATCGAAATAAATAAAATATGAAAAAAATTTTTGTTATTAAAATAAAAATGATTTTTTTCATTTATAAAAAAATTATAAAAAATTTTGTATAGTATTTAAAGATATTTTTATTTATTTAAATAAAAATTATTTAATTACTTGAAAAATTGTTATATTGATTTATATGTTTTGATTTAATAAATCTTTTTATAAGATTTATTTATTTTTCTAAAAAATTTTTTAAATATTTTAATTTTTGAATAATCTATTTTAAAGATTTTATTAATAAACCTGCTCAATATATTTCTTTACTGATTCGTATTCTTTTATTAATTAGTTATTTATTATAAATAAAAAAAATTCGGTTGATTTTTAAAATTACATTATTTATTTTTTATTCGAGTTTTAAATTTATAGACAATATATAAGGTGACAAATTTTATTGCAAAAAAAAAAAAATAATAAATAATTTTTAAAAATTATTTTATTGCGAATTAATTATCTAATTTAATATTTTGAATCAAAAAAAAAAAAAATTTTTTTTCAATAATAATAAATTTTTGATTTCAGTTATATTTTTATATGATTTTATATAATAAAAGCGATATAAGAATATTATAAATTATTTTTTTTAAAAAAATTTTAAATAAACAATCTAATATAATATAATTTACATAAATGATTTTAAAAAATCTCATTTAGATTATCATCGTCATTATTGTTGTTGTTTTGAAAAAAAGGGTTTGTTTCGTATTTCATCAAAGTAAACAAATGCTAAATATAGTCGAGAGAAGAATATTCGTTCTCGGATACTAACTTTTAACCAATGATTTTTTTTTAAACAATAATCCCTTGCTTGATCGTACAATTAATTTCTACAGTATTCCTAAAATATAATTCCCTGCTTGAATCAAAGGATTCAACATCCGCAAAAAAAGGTCGACTCAGCAGAGGCTCCGACCCATCCATCACTGATATGTTGTGAATCAACTATGGAAATCTGCTTTATTATCTTAGAATGGTGGAAGTTCGAATCATGTACGGCTTGTTTTATCGAATGAAAGATTATTGATATCAACCAGTGCTTTTTTGTATTACAAATTTTACTTGACAATATGGACAATAAGTGGTACGTTACTCCACTTTTTTTTTAAACAATGATCAATCAATAAATAAGTGCACCTCTTTCTCCGTCTGTAGGCACTGCCGATCACTTTCTTCTGAGAACAATGGAGAGCGGATCAGAATCCAACTTGGAGGGACAAGCGACAGTTACGGAAGACAGCGCGAATGCAAACTTTAGCGTGCAAAGGAATCAAAGTGTTAATTCGATAGACAGAATCAGCCTTTCTATCAACGAGAGGCTGAATGATAACTTTTCGATGATCGCAAGGATATCTACTCAAAACAGCGAAGCGGGTAAATAAATATTGGGGTTAGTTAGATCTTCCAACAGAACACATAATCACATATAGCGTAAATTTTCATTCTATTAACTTTAGTGATGTCGTTTAACGATCCCCCTCCGTCGTTTGCCGAGTCACAAAAACAGCATCGCCTATATCAAGACATGCAATTTCGTAAAGGGACAAAGGGGACAAATAATATTGACACCCTTAACGTGATTTTAAAAACCACTTCAACGCCTTCTCGAACGCCAAACCTCAGCAATGCCTGGGAGTTTGCAGGGTAAGAGGTTTATCATTACATCTTCACGAATTCGCAAGGTTATTTTTATCAATATATGTCTTTGACAAAAAGATGGGGTTCCACCTATTACATTGAACTCCCAACCGACAAGCCACCGGAAAACAAGGATAGAACTCTGCTCGGTCAATGGCGAGCTACTAGTATTTCCGGGAACGATCTTGTGGCATCAGTTTTATATACCGTTGGGATCTGTACAGTTGTAGCGGGAAAATATGCCCCCCTATCACTTTTCATTGTTTCGGTCATTCTTTACCCATTCCAAGGCATCTTGAGCGAAGTGGGCACAGCATTGCCGCTTAACGGTGGATCGTACAATTGTTTGCTAAATACATCTTCCAAATGGTTTGCAGCAGTTGCGGCCGCATTGGGGTTATTAGACTACGTGGCAACAGCGGTTGTTAGCGCCGCGGCAGCTACATCGTATCTCTCCGGGCAATTTAGTTTATCATCGTCTGTTGTGTTCTGGATAACCATTGGTGTACTCGTATTGACCGCTGGTGTTGTTGCGCTCGGGCTCAAAGAATCATCAAATTTGGCATTCGCCATTTTTCTTTTCCACTGTTTCACGCTAACTCTATTGATGGTTGCGAGCGTGGTGCGGTGGATCATCCAAGGAAACGCTGTGTTGATCGAGAACTGGCAAGATCCGGGATCAGGAAATCCCGCATGGGATATATTTTATGGCACTTGCATAGGACTCTTGGGTATTACTGGATTTGAGACGTCAGCCAACTATATTGAGGATCAAAAACCCGGTGTTTATCAAAAGACTGTGCGAAACATGTGGATGCTGGCATTTTTTTTCAATGCACCGATAAGCTTACTGGCTTTGGCCATAATGCCAATGTCGACATTTAAGGAGCATCAAAACGATATCATCTCGACAATGGGAAAGTATGCGGTCGGATCATGGTTGCAGACTCTTGTGATCATCGATGCAATAGTAGTCTTGGGAGCTGGCGTGTTGACAGGATTTATTGGTGCTACCGGGTTAATCTACCGAATGGCGTCCGATCACATATTACCGAAGTATTTATTACGAAAGAATAAATACACCGGGACTTATCACTGGATCATACTGAACTTTCTCATCTTTTGTGTGACCCTTTACACGATTGTTGGCGGAAATCTGACTTCATTATCCGGGGTGTTTGCCGTATCGTTTTTGAGCGTATTGTTCATGGTGTGTTAAACTTTATTGCAAAAGAAGAGGAGATTTTAAATCTAAATACTCTCGCATCATTACAGTTCGCCATCGGAAACATCCTTCTAAAGTATAAGCGTGGAAGATTATATCGGGCGGTGTGAATCAAAACCAATCTAATTAAACAACGGTTTGTTTCGTTTGATAGAAGATACCTAATTCATCGATTCTTTTAATAGGTTCGAGTGTCCACCGGAGTTGCCATGTTTGGCGCCGCAGCTATACTGACAGGATTGATCGGCAATATAATATACAATCCATCGATATTTCAGTACTTTGTAATCTATTTTGGAATATTGTTTACTGTGATGCTGTCGATGTTGTATCGCGTCTTTATATTGAAAACGTTATTTTTTTATCTGGACAAAATCGTGATTTTGCACAAATATAAAGTGGCCGACGTGATAGTGGGATTGATTAAAAACCAAAAGAAACAGCCAGTTGTATTTTTCACAAATACCGACGAAATACACATCCTCAATAAAGGTAAATTGTATCATGTTCTACGCGTTTCGCGTATTTCTATTCACTTTACCATCATGAATTTTTTTTTTTCTCTTGACGCACGTTTGTGCCTCAAATAAACAGCTGTCTTGTATGTCAAGAACTCGGAGCCGAGCGGATATTTGAAGTTTATTCATCTTTACGAAAAGATCGAAGACGTACGTGACTACAATTTCAATATCATAATATGAACATAATTTAATCGAGATTTGCTCATCAAACGATATTGAACTCGCAGATTCCACCGAGACTTGAGGAAAACCACCGTGTCCTCGACGAGGTAATCTTTTCCATTATCTCCTGAAATTCTTATGCATACCTGCTCTTTTTGTTGGTGACCTCTTTCTCAACATAAAAATTTCCCACAGCTTTATCCCAAAATCCAAATTGATTTGGTAAACAATCATCCGGAAAAATATACAATTACTTTCTTTCTTCTTTTTGGGGGGCATTATTAAACAAGTGGTTAAAGACAACGTGAATCTTTTCTTATCTCAGATGTTTATTCAGGGAAAGTTAGATCCTGAAACGGTGGACTCCATATCAGAGCATTTGGGAATTCCAAAAGCAAGTGAACATTCTCAAATCCTGCGTCAATCACTTTACATATTTTTATAACCGAATGATGTTTTTTTTTTTTATTTTTCAGTCTTTGATGTTCATTTCCTGTCCTGGAGAAGATTTTCCTTATAAGATTGGGGAATTCGGGGGTGTAAGAGCCATAATGCTTTAGAACCCGGGGTCACGTTTATCTGTAACCAAGACAAGGAGCACAACAGATTAACAATCAGCATCATTTTATTCCGTTTGGTTAAATTAGTTAAGCTCTGTCTTTTTATTTGGCGTACATGAACGCGCACTTGTGTGCTGTTGTTTTTTACTAAAGCTTATTTTGCAAGAATAACAATACATTTCTTTGCAGAGTAAAATGATGATTGAAACAGAAATTTATATAAAAATGTAATTTGTTTCCTTTGTCATTTTCTTGGCTACATCGCGAGAGATTAATATTCTTATTACAGAGACATCAGTGAAATAAATTATAATATTCAAGTTCATGTATAAAACCTTGTATCAGAGAAATACGGTGGCATCTATGAAAACTCGCCATCGTCATACCTCTCGGTGATTTATGGATAGAAAGTTTGACTAGCCCATTTTATGCGAATATACCGGATCGAGATCAAATTATGGGTTCGCAAATAATGCACTGAGTAATTTGTTCATGCTTAAATTTTATACGAACAATTGAATCTGCGCATATATCTTTTAACAAAATGCAATGTAATATCAAAAATTGAGAAGTAACTGACTTGCCAGTTTAACTCCATAACATATAAATTTCGAATAACTTATAATTTATAACTTTGTATAAAATATAATAATGAATTGATGGAATATATACAAAATTCTCGTGATTTTAAGCTTTTATCTTATACTTCAGAAAAAAGGATTTAAACTTTAATCATAGACAAGGTAATAATATTTAGAGTGCATATATGCACACTATTTTTCTTAATCTATTATGCACGAAATTTTTATGAACGAAAACTGAGGTTACTGCAGAACCTGCAAACTTTTAAACACGAGCTTTTATTGGTGTCAGCCTTGTAATTCAAAGAGATTTCGTCAAAGCTTTGAAAGATGGACAAGTGGAAATGTTCATATCGACGGTTTAATAAGGAGGATGCAAGAGAAGGCAACTAATTCCAAAGAAATTTTGGAATGGGTACCTTGGTCAAAGTTCAAATATATGGAAGAGATTGGATATGGAGGATTCGGTAAAGTCCACGAAGCTAACTGGACTGATGGATATATTTCTTATTGGAGAGAAAAAGATAATGGCTGGGGAAGATATGAAAGTGGTTCAAAGTTTGCTATTAAGGTTTTCAACGATTCCTCCAACATCACTGATCACTTTTTAAACGAGGTAATAAAAAAACTTCAAATTCAATGAGTTTATGAAAACCAATATTAAATAAAACTGGATTTTTTTTTTAATCAAGATATTTGCAGCGCATCGATTCAGAATATCAGGGTTAATTAGATGTTATGGGTTAACACAAGAACCCGAGACAAAAAATTATGCATTGATAACCGAGTACGCGACCGATGATCTTCGTCAGATCATCAATTCACCAATGAAAAGTTCTTCCAACGCCGTAGATTATTTCAAGGAGAAATTAAAAATATTAATTGACATTGCTTCAACTTTAAAAAAACTTCATTATTTAGAAATAATTCACAAAAACCTTCACACTGGGAAAATATTAAAAAAATTCTAATTCAACTTTTGCAATTAGTGACCTCGGCCTTTGCTTTCGGGCAAATAAATACTTTCATGACAAAGAATTTTTTGGAGTTTTGGAATTTACCGCACCTGAAGTGTTGCAGGGAAATAATCATACAAAGGAATCAGATGTTTATAGTTTCGGGGTATTGACTTTGGAAGTTTTCACAAGGTCAATTATAATTCCGAAAGTTGTTTCCGAGACTCGAATAAAAGCTCAACCTGTAATCCCGAATAATTTGCCGCCGCCAATATTTAACCTTATCATTAAATGTTTGAATACAAATCCTGAAAATCGAATACGTCTAGATGGAATATGTAATTTATTGTCGGAACTGTGGGCAAACCTTTGGTATCAAGTCGATAATAAACAATTTGAAACTTACGACAATATGCAATATTGCACTCTTGATGCTCGTAAGCTTAAAAGCAAACGGCTACATACAAGTACGTATCAGCTTTTTCCTATTTCGCGCCCATACAAATTCTAATTTAATTATAGATAATGAAGGTGACAACGATCATGAGGAAGAAGTTAAAATCTTGGCAATTTCCGAAGTTCCAAATATTGATTCCTCGGGAACCGATGTCGAGTGTTTCCTAAAAGTGGACACAAATCACATGTAAAATGTTATTTTTTTGTACACGAAAAAAATTAATATTTACTGATCCATTCATTTTATTTTATGAAACTTTTCGGTGTCTCTCCTAAATTAAATAAATACAATACTAAGAACTGAGATAGAGATACAATGAGTTAAAATTCTTTACTTTATAAATATATTATGGTTCTTAAGAAAAATTAAAGCAAAGATCTCTTAACAATATTTTTATTAATAAAGAAGTCAAGAAAAAAAAGAAAAAAAAAGAAAAAAAGAAATAAGGGATATTTATAAGGGTATAAGAACAAGAACTAATATTTTTTATATGATACTGTTAACAATTTAAATATATATTGTTTTGTAATTACTAAATATAATAATTTTTAATATTAAACTATTACAATTAATTTTATAATAATTATCAATACTATATTTATCAAGTTACTAAGTTTGTTAAGAAAATTACTAACTATAATAGATTTGATAGTATTATTTTAGTAAATGGCTTATTATAAGTATTTTGTAACTAAAGATCAATATCAATATTTTGTAAAAAATTTAAATTGCTAATTATTTTAATACAAAAGGTAAAAAAGTTCTTTGATCAAATTATTTATAGTATATTTAGAAACACAAAATTAATTTTTTATTAAATAAATACTTTATACAAATCTAGAATACTTATTAAATAAAGTTCTTCTTGAAATTTTTTTAATATTTTTTTAAAAATTATTTAATATTTCCTTGTAATAATATAGATTACTATTTAATTACTTTTAATATAAAAAAAAACATTTTTTTCTATTGGTTCCCTTTTTCATAAAAATTTTATTTTTTGATAATTTCTTTAAAAAAAAAAGCCAGCTTTAAAATACTATTCTGTTAGAAAATAGCAAATTATAAGATATAACTATATATTAAAATATTTGTTATCAATTAAAAAAGCTTTAAAAATGTTATATCATTTTTTCAACTTTATTTCTATAAAAAGAAAGAAATTTATTAATAAATTAACTCATAGTAAACTTAGAAGAGTCTAATATCAATTTTTCAATCTTTTAATTAGACCAATATTAATTTATACTTTTTAGGTACTAAAAAAAACTTTACAAATAATGGTTTTTACTGATAAATAAAAAAAAAAAAACTCAAAGTTTATAAAGCTCAGAAAGATATCAAAGATTTTTAAAAACTAAATATTAGAGTATTCTAATTTTACAAACACTTTTAATTAAATATCAAAACAAGTTATATAAATATATATATATAATTAACAAATATCAAAATAATATAATAAAATTTTATAAGAAGTCTATAAACAAAATATATTAACTTATCACAAGTATAAATCTATAATAAAATCTAATAAATAAATAAAATTAAATAAAAAAGATCAATAATTATTTTAGATAAACAAGAATTAATTAAGATAGAAAACAATTATATTTTATAAACTATATAAATATATAAATAAACTAGAGTAAATAAGTTACAATAAATTAATAGTTTATTTTTCTTTATATAAGACTCTCAAGATAATAAAAATATAAAATTATACTAATTATAAAAAAAATAGAGCTTCACACCTTATTATAATAATTAATAATAGATTTTTAAAGTATTTAGTCTATAGAATTTCATAGAACACTCTCAAGATAATAAAGATATAAAATTATACTAATTATAAAAAAAATAGAACTTCACACCTTATTATAATAATTAATAATAGATCTTTAAAGTATTTAGTCTATAGAATTTTATAGAACACTTATGTTCTTTTTTGAGAAACAAAATTAATATTCTTTACTTTAATAGAAACAAAATTCAAAAATATTATAAATTAAAGGTTGAATAATAAAAATTATTCTAAATAGTTTTTTTATAATTATTAACTTTAAAATTATAATATTTTCTAGTAAGGAATATTGAACTTTTGTTTCTATTTTTTTCTTTTAAAAATTTATTTTTAATAATAGATAGAATAATTGATAAGTGTAACTAGAAAAAAAAAATATGAACTATTTAAACCATCTTCAATGCTCTCATTGTGCAAGACAATATAGATATTAAAATCTTAAAATTAATAAAATACTCTATAATAAATAATATTTTAATTAAAATTTTAAATATAAGCTTAATCATATTTATAAATGCAAAATTTTAAAGTAACATATTTTATATTTAAGAATTTAAAGTCAAAAAAAGAAAAAAAATCTTTTTCTTATATATCAAAAAACTTTTAGGTTAAGTAAAAACTCAAAAACATTAAAATAAAAAATCAAGTTTTAAATATAAATTTTATTTCAAAAGAAAAAATAAAAGTTTAATCAATATTCTTGATTAAAATTTTAAATAATATTGAAATTAAAATGGACAATAAAGAATTGAAGAATAAAATTAAAATAAAAAGTATCTAGAAAAAAGTTAAAAAGAAAATATAATCAAATAAATCTTTTATAATATATAAAATAAACTTAAGTCAACTAGTATCAATTTATTTTATCTTATAAAAAAAAGAAAAATACAAAATAGAAATATTTATATTCAATATATTAAAAGAAACAAAAAAAATCATTTATTTTTAAACTATTCTGTGTTTATTTAAAGGCATACAAATGTTCAAAAAAGATTTTTTAATAACAATATTTGAATAACTTTCAACTTTAATAAAGTAAAAGATACTTTACAATATATAAAAAAAATTAATAAATAAAAAAAAAAAACTTTATTTTAATATCTATATAAGCTAATAAATGAATAACTTATACTTTTTATTAAAAAAAAAAAGAAAAAACTTTATTTTAATATCTATATAAGCTAATAAATAAATAACTTATACTTTTTATCAAAAAAAAAAAAAAAGGAAATTTCTTAAATAAAAAGTAAAAAAAGAAAAAATATTATGGTTACTATATTATTGACTTGAATTGTAATTATATTCATTATAAATCAAAAACTGCTTTTCAAAGATATGAAAAAATATTAAGCATCTATTTTATATATATAACTATTTCTAATTACAAAGAAAAATTAAAGTATTAATTACAATTGCAACATAATTAAACAAAACTATCTCAAACTAGAATTTACAAAAGTCAAAATACATACTAATAACAAATACAATGAATAAGTAGATCAGTTAGTTACTATCAACACCAACAATGGCATGACCCCTGGGCATAGGACAATATATATTATTTCTATATAAAATCAACAATATACACCAATTTCTCAATGAAACTACACAAAAACTGAGATTTCTATCAAAAGCATAGTTAAAGAGTTGATTAGATCCATATATCTAGTAAAATGGAAGCTTTTAAATAAAACAAGAAATGAATTCAGTGACAGGATAATTAGTCACATTCACTGACCTACAATAATGAAAAATCTTTAACCAACTTAAATGAGCAATTATATAACAAACCGAAAAGATCAACAACAGAGGAAGTTCAATCTCAGCCTCTGGGATAAAGAATTACCTATAAAAACCAAACTCTTCAATTGTTTCTTCACCTTATACAAAGATAACAAATATATTAAATACAACAATAGGGAAACAAACATCATTCCTTTTTCTATAGAGATCAATGGAAAAAAACAGAAAAACAGATTCAATATATCATTATTTGAAAGATACAAAAACTCAATAAAATAAAAGATACAGAAAGGTACCTATAAAAATATCAAAAAATAGTTTACTACAATTTCTAGAATATTTAAAATACCTGATCAAAGAAGCTATTTTAAAAGAAATAGTTAACATAGTAACAAAATGCATATTAGATTTCTTTTCCAGAAAGCAATGCATAATAAGACATCAGTAAATATCTCTACAGTATCTGGAAAACAAAATATGAAGACTTTCACAAGTGAAAAGAGATACAGGGTATTACAAGAAAGATTGAGAAAGCTATCAAATACAGTACTCCAATAAAAAGTGACTGGCTCAATAGAACAGAAAGATACATAAAAAATCAATTTATTAATCTAATTAATAACTATATACTATAGATAAATACATCAAAAATATTACATAGTTATCTGATATTTTCAAAATTTTATATAGCACTAGCCTAGCCTTGATCGGTTAGTTTCTCAATAGAAGTAATGACAAGCTACAAGGTGAAATTTCCTTTTCTATCAAACTTTACTTGGTTAACATAAGTAGCATTAGTATAAATATATATATACTTTACTTAATTCAAATAAAGTAAAGCTGAACCAACTCAATTAAAAAAAATTAAAGTATTGATTATTTTAAACTAATCTAAAGATATAAAAAACAGATGATTATTTATATAAAAATAGAAACTTTCAGATTTATTTTTATTTAATATAAATTAAATAACTATAAAAATAATACTATTTTTCAAAAGTTATAATACTTTTTTTTTTTTTTTTTTAAAACGCTGGCTCAGCCTTACTTTATTTAAATTAAGTAGAAATGTACATATTGATTATGCTAGAACTACCTATGTTAACCAAACTAGTTCAATAGAGAAAGAGTCACCTTGCGGTCTGTTGCCACCCTAATGGGAGCTAACCAGCCAAGGCTGGACTAGTGCTGTATAAAATTGTGAAGATGTGGGAGAGGTGTGTAATATTTTTTATGTATTGTCTTATGTAATTGTTCGTTAGGTTAATGTATTGACCTTTATGTTTTTATCCAGTATAGTGAGCTATATATTTCTCTATGGATTGCTATATCTGGCTGTTTTTTCAATTTTGCGTGTGATGCCTTGCTATATTTTCCATTTCTGAAATTCTTTACATCTTTGAGTCCAGGTGTTGTAGAGGTATTCACTGGTTTCTTGTCTAATTTCTTTGATACATTTTTGTTTTGGTTGGATGTTTGTCCCACATTTGGCTATTAGGCTGTGTGTTTTTTTGAGTATGGCTTTTTTGATTGTACATTTGAGATATTCAGTGTACTTCAGAAAGTTGCTTCTTAGGTAGTTGTTGATCTGTTTTTCAGTGTCTTTCCTCTCACTATACTGTCTGACCTTGTTAATAATTGTGTTC